GGCTACTCCGTAAGTGATCATCATAATTCGAAAAATCATCATGACTGAAAGATATCAATATTTTCAAAAAGGAGATCTATTAACAGAAACACATTAACAATTTCACTTTTAAAAAAAAATGCATAATTAAGTATACTTTGAATAATTGAAATGAGTATAACATTTTAACGGCAATGCATAATTCAAAGGATTTCATAAATTACCATACTGGCGTCCCATGTAGTCACCTATATACCCCATCAGCATCCTGATGGGTCAACTTAATTCCTATCGGCATCCCGGATAGGTCCACTTAATCCTTGCAAACCCACTTATACCTCACCGGTGTACCGGATGAGTCCACTTAATCCCTACCGGTGTCCCAGATAGGTCCACTTATACCTCACCGACGAACCGGATGAGTCCACTTGCATACTTAAAGTATTTCTAAATCTCTTTAAACATTCGAAAGCAGCAATATCATGTACTCAACATATCACTGAAATTATTGATATGAATTTCACTGAAACCATTGATAACAATCACTTTCAATAACATTTCTAAAATAACCAGTCAAATATTTTGGGCTCAAATGAAGAAAGGTAGCAGTTCATAAAGACATTCTAGCATAATTGCCAATCTAATATGGATAGAAAAACTCTTATAGAAATTCACAAATACAGAATTAGCACAATTTATGGGATGTCAATTCGCAAATGAATATTTCACAGACAATGCTATAATCAAATGCAAAAATATCAGTTTTCAACTAATAAGGCAGTCACTTGCACATGAAATTTACAATGTCTAAATATTCAAAAACAGTAGAAAGAAATCTCACAATTTTACTAAAAGTAGAAATATCACATTTATTTTTAATAATTTTACAGTATCTAAAAGTTTCTAACAATGGACAAGAAAAATAAATAAATTTATTTCTAAGAATTTACAGCATTTAAAATAGATAAAATGTCACCATTTTTACTAAAAAGATTATTCTTCGAAATAATGAGGTCGCGTGCGCATAAAATTTATCGCACCTAAAATTCATGATAATAAGCATAATTAATTATTTCATTTTATTTTTAAAAAGAATGGATTATTTTTTGGGACAATGAGGCCACTTACCTAAAATATTTGAGAGGGAGCTTCTGATAAAAATTCGGCTAAAGAGAGAAAGAATTCACTGCTTTTCGACTAGAGAGACAGAGATCTCAAAATTTTCTAGGGTGGGAGTCCTCACCTCTCCTATTTAAATTCTTAAAACACCTTATTATATTATTTTATTAAGTAACAATTGTATTACTCCTGAAATGTTAAAACCCCACGTCAACTAAAAGACGTGGTAAAGGTAAGGAAAAGCTTAAACCAAAAGCTTCTGAAAATAGTGATGGTCTCTAAGGACCATGATGCTCATATGGACCATCTCTTATTAAAAGTTTCTTTTCTCTCTCTTTCTTTCTTTCTTTCTTCTTTTTTTTTTTTTTTTTGGTTTTTTTTTTTGAGAAATTTTAGGATTATTATAGTTTTGGACTTGATGTTTTCGAGAGATGGGTCTAAGTACCGGTACCCCTAAACTAGCCCTAACTAAAGTTAGAACCCTGGCGGTTCTGATCTAACTGATCAGTTTTGCCAACAATGGTGTATACCCTTAAAAGTCCTCAACATTTTTGAACATATAGATACCTTTGCATCATAATACAAAATTTATTTATCATTTAGAATGACAGAATAGATATTTCTATAATAAAATAGTGGAATTCTATTAGTAGTTAAAAAAACAATTATTACATCTTGTGGGTGATGTCACACACCATGTCGGTGATATCATTATCCACTATTATTAATAAATATTGTTCTTTCTATTAAGAATTTCTACTTTACCCTTACTTAATTACTTAAAATACCCCTAGACTAAAAGTTACTACACCATAGGATAAGGGTATCTAAGTGTCAAAAAATGTTGATCTTTTCTGATAAGAGGGTCGCTTAACCTAAGAAGTAGACTACTATACTGAGGACCGGTTGGGCTAGGAAGTCAAAATCATGGGATTGGTTCGTTCTCCAAACGTAATTACACACATGTCCTACCCACTACGTAGTGATGCCTCTACCTGATCTTCAGCCGTGGGACGAACTCAATTGAAAGACTTTTCGAGAAAAAGAAGTTCAAGAGGCATCCTCCATTCATATCGATTTTGGTCTTTCCGCACCATATTTAGATATGCCCTTCTTCGATCTGGAGTTCCCAACAAATCCTTGACTCCTCGAATACAATGGGATTTCACACATGGCAAATCTTTCACTCTACCTCCTCTTATTAACACCATAGAATGTTCCTACGAATTATGACCTTCGCCCGGAATGTGAGCAAATATATCATGTCGATTGCTCAATCGTACTTTGGTTATCTTACGTGGAGCTGAATTAGGTTTTTTCGGTGTTATTGTCGAAACACATGGGCATACTCCTTGCTTCTGGGGACATTGATCCAAAGCACGAGTACGGTCTGTGCTCCATTTCTCTTCTCTACCCTTATTCATTTATAAGTTATGCTAGGGTGCTCACAATATAGAGTAATTTATCATTGTACTCAACAAATTTTTAACACTTTTATACATTTGTTTTGTATATGGAGTTTTTTTTTTAATAAAGATATTTTTGGTCATTATGAGAGGTATAACATCATCCACATACCAATTACTTTATTGCCCATTGTCCTTAATGGATATTTACACTATTTGATTATTTAAAATTAATGGCTTTTGTAAAAGGGCAAGTTGGATTAACTTGGAATTAAAATATGGATATAATGGCAAAAGGGTAAAGTGACATCACTTAGAGTTTAATATAGGTGATAATAGTGCTAAATCTCATCATTTCATTTTAGTGGTTGGATGGGGATGGGTGACTAAGGTATATTGACCTCTCCTGTGCATTTGGATAGGTGCATGAAGGGTGTTGATGATATTCAATCTTAT